TCAAAAGAACCCAAACGCTGGGTCAAAACAACCCAATAGCTGGGTTTGTCCCTTTTTAACCCATCATTTTTTAGAGTGTACTTAATAAATCCTTTAAACAAATAATTAATGTGAACTTCTGAGGTGTACAAACAACATTTCTGAACTTCAAGCACCTCCTTTCATTGATTTGTTGAAGAAGAAGGAACAAAGAATAGAAACAAAAAGAAACATGCCCTATTTTGCACCTTCTATGTATAAATCAGGTAATTTGTCTCTCAATCTCCTTATAACTTCATGGAAGGTGCCTCAAACTGATTTTAGAGGGAATACCAAAATTCCCTAAACTAAAATTCCCACAAGAGCTGATTGTCTCTTCATTTGGCCTTAATTGGACCGTTCTCATGACTCCTAGGCCTTGTTTGCCTGGTTGCCCCTGCTGGGATTCAATTTGTTGTACCTTGTGACTTTTCACGACACAAAACAGCCTCATGACACGGGAAGCTGTTGTGCAATTATTATTAGCAATGACTTCATGAGCTCACACTCTAAAACATGCTGGACATCAAAAAACTGCAACATTTTTACTATTTTCCATCATGTCCCAGAGTTCAGTGTCTGTTTGAATAGTTCAATATGTTTTCATAAGAGAAGAATACATCAATAGCACTATTTTCCATATTCATTTCACACCACTGTTGGACAAGATAGAAGAGCAGCTCAACCTGTCACAAAGGTGTCATGCTGTGTCCGTCTCAGCCTGCCTGATGGGAAAGGAGCAGAACAGTGTCGTCTTTGTGCGAGCTGGACAAAGCTGGACCTGTGTGAAAGCAGGTTAATGTTCCTCTACATGTTTGGAAGCCAAGGACATCTGAAGGACCCTCACACACACACCCAAACCCACCTCTGGATTCTGCACCTCGAGTAACAGAGGACAAAACACCAACGCTCAACAAAACAACAAGTGTTCACACAGTCTGAGCAAATTAAAAAACGTCAACATTCTTTTTTAGAACAGAAGGCAGTATAGAGGGATTCAGTTTGTAAGAAAAGATCTCAATATGGGTGGGTGCTATAACGGCTCAAGTGTGCATTCATGTGGGGTTTGGAGAGCTATATATAACACACTCACAGTGCAGACAATTTTCAACTTCTCAGAATTACTAAAGAACTGTTGACACATGGAGAAGCGTGTGTGTGGGTGGCAGAAAGCGTAATGACTTAGCAGTGAAACAGGATGCCTCGCACGAGGAAGAAAGTCTCAGAGGGTTCCAGGTGTTTGTCCATGTGCTGGCTCACATCAGCAGGTGTATTAGTCCTGAAAGAGAAAAAAACTTCTCACCAGAGAATGGAACTTTATTAAAGATAATAAAAACAGATGTGTGAATGTTGTACACAAGCTGAACTAAACTGAATAGTTTTAAAATGTAACATCACTTTAAATAGTATTTATGGGTCATTCTCATAAATTGGCGCTGTTTGTGTACATATCACTTAATATATATATATTAACTGAATATATTATAAATGTATATATATATATATATATATATAATATATATAGATGCATTATATATATATATATATATATATATATAATAGTTTTTAACCACATGGTTCAAAGAGAAGTACTTTAATTTCATTTTAATTTATAGTATTTTATTATGGTTACACTTATGCCTCATTGGGCTCAACTGTTAACAAAAAAATAATATTGATTTTTCTTTAAAAACAATTTTTTATAAGAAAATATTGTTCTTGGCACAAAATTACATGGTAATCATTTTGAATGTAGAAATGTTTGAATGTATGCAAAGCATGAAATATGAAATGTTATACATACATACAAACACGCGCACACACACAATGAAATACCTGACAATAATGGATCATTTTTGTTCTCATGGCATTTTCTAGCACAGGCAGTTTAGGAAGGCATTAGAGGCTCAGGAATGTGCAGACCTTGTCAGAAAATATGCCAGGGCTTATTGTGCTGCAAAGAGTATTTCTTTCGCGGGGATTAATGTATTTAAAATGTCCCAGACTGATTTGGGGCTGAATGAAAGAGTCGTTTATGTATTAGTAGCTACGTGTGACTCTCTGTTAGGTCAAACTTCTAATGCTTTGTTTTCACATTCGTGTGAGTTCGAAACGCGTCCAACCATTTTGCCCAAGTTAGAATCCACTACTGTCATAGCAACGCGTTCAAGAAGAATCCAGCAGCTGTGTGTGTTTAGCTGCATGTGTTATGTGTATGAAAGCATGTTCAAGGACCTTTCCTCTTCTGCATCTGTGGACATACTCAAATGCCAAGCACAGTTACTGATTCACACAGTCAGAGACGCTCGCGAAGGTTCCATAACACCCTTACTGATTTACATAGGCTACTTTATTTCCTTACAGTGATAAAGCATGAATGAACGGCATAGGTAATATTTCTGCTGAAAAACGTGTTCATACATATCAGAAACTTAATGATTAAATGTTAAAATTTGAATTTCGTATCTTTACCCAAAAATTTAAATCTGCTAAACAGTGAATGGGTACCACTATGAGAATTCAAACATCTGATAAAAACATCACAATAATCTGCAAGTAATCCACGCGAGTCTAGACGATGAATTAGGGTTTGTTAAGTGAAAAGGCTGTTTGTAAGAAACAAATCCATTAAGTTTTTCTTTTTTTTCCACTTGAAACTCTTGCTTCTGGATAAAGGAGGAGTACATGGACCATAATGTTGCTTCCTCCAGTGAAAAGGTCCATTTCCAGTTGTCCTTTTACATCAAAATATTGGTTTAGAACAGTTTTAGCTTGTAAGCGCTGAAAAACGTGTTCATACATATCAGAAACTTAATGATTAAATGTTCAAATTTGAATTTCGTATCTTTACCCAAAAATTTAAATCTGCTAAACAGTGAATGGGTACCACTATGAGAATTCAAACATCTGATAAAAACATCACAATAATCTGCAAGTAATCCACGCGAGTCTAGACGATGAATTAGGGTTTGTTAAGTGAAAAGGCTGTGTTTGTAAGAAACAAATCCATTAAGTTTTTCTTTTTTTTTCCACTTGTTTCAAACTCTTGCTTCTGGATAAAGGAGGAGTACATGGACCATAATGTTGCTTCCTCCAGTGAAAAGGTCCATTTCCAGTTGTCCTTTTACATCAAAATATTGGTTTAGAACAGTTTTAGCTTGTAAGCAGTGCACATTTCTCTCCGGATTCAGATGAGGCCTCATTTTAAAAGGAGAAAACATGTTTTTTTCCTTGTTACAACCATGCAGCTTTTCACTTCACAAAACATTAATCAGCAGACTGGAGTTGTGTGGATTACGACGTTATCAGCGGTTTACAGTTTCTCCCAATTGCGTCGACGCAATTCTGGGAACAACTCCCCATTTTCTAAAATCTTCACACCCAACGGTACAAACAGCTAACTTTTGAATACCAATTCAAACGTTGCCCTCGGTCAATACAAGCGGTCAAAAACAGACTATGACTTTTACCACATTGGAGGGATAAGTTCAAAACACTGCTACCAAATGCTTTAGTTTCCAGACCAATAATTTGGAACTTTGTGAAATCACAGCACTGACTAAAGCTTTCAGAAACAACCCTGACCAAAAAAATAACCACACACACATGTTTGTGCTTACATAGTTGGCTAAAGCAATACAGTACATGCCATTTTGGCCAAAAAGTTGGCCTTTGAAATGTCACACTAACAAAACATGCAATGAAGAGTCTATTGCGTCGACGCAATTCTGGGAACAACTCCCCATTTTCTAAAATCGTCACACCCAACGGTACAAACAGCTAACTTTTGAATACCAATTCAAACATTGCCCTCGGTCAATACAAGCGGTCAAAAACAGACTATGACTTTTACCACATTGGAGGGATAAGTTCAAAACACTGCTACCAAATGCTTTAGTTTCCAGACCAATAATTTGGAACTTCGTGAAATCACAGCACTGAATAAAGCTTTCAGAAACAACCCTGACCAAAAAAAAAATAATAAAAAATAACCACACACACATGTTTGTGCTTACATAGTTGGCTAAAGCAATACAGTACATGCCATTTTGGCCAAAAAGTTGGCCTTTGAAATGTCACACTAACAAAACATGCAATGAAGAGTCCATGCAGACTAGAATACTTAATTTTCAAAACCTTTATTTCCAAAGGCAAGCAAATGTACAGGTTACTCAGCAACAGCGAGCGTTCTCATAATCATCTCATCTCAGGTGTGGGTCAGGCCATAATCTCATCAACATCACGCATTGTTTGCTCTTGCGAGGCAGAGTGGAAAAAAAAAATAAAAAGCCCTTGTGTGCCTTATATAACACGGACTCCACAGACACATCTTCACAGGCATCCAGCATTGCTTCCAGGAGGTTTTGGTGTACATGGGGGTTGCGGTCACACACTTTCCACCACCATGCTGAGAAAAATTCCTCAATCGGATTCAGAAATGGGGAATATGCTGGCAAAAAAAAAAAAAAGAGAACCTGGGGTGGGCATTGAACCAGGTGTGAACCAGAGCAGCACGATGGAAACTCACGTTATCCAAATGACAACATATTGGACCTGCTCTGGTTGCCCTGGCTCCCCTTCCTGTTGAAGAATGTTATTGTGCAGCTGATCTAGAAATCTAGAGTTGTGCCGTGTTGTATGGACCCAGTTTGGCATGGTGGTGGAGGACGCCACGATTGCTGATGGCTGCACATATGGTGGTGTTGCCTCCCCTCTGGCCAGGAACTTGTGACCGCACGGTGACCAAGGATGTTGAGCCCTCTTTTGCACTATGTCAGGTTGAACCCTGCCTCAATGAAGATGTATACTCATGTGGGTCAGCCATGGCATCCAGCTCAAAGACCCTCTACAGAAATAAAAGTTACAGTACTGTACTGATGTGCCGGAGAGAAAGGCCATGTTCTACACTGTAAATTCTGTACTGTATATCAGTCACCTGCACATATTGGAATCGTTGCTCCTTAACCATTTGAATTCCTTTCATAAGGCACACGGTACAGCTGCTTTGTCCTTATTTGGTTCCTCTGAATGATCCAGTCAATAGTGGAAATGCTGATGCGGTCAATTCCTTGGAAGACTACCTTCAACTATTTGGGTTTGAATTTCCCTCAAACGGATGGCATTATTGGCAATTACCATATTCACCAGGGTAGTCTCCTGCTCAGCTGTGAGAGGTCTTCTCCTACCTCCTATAGATGGCCGCCTCTCAGTTCTGCAAAAAAAAAATGAAAGAACCGCTACTAAATTATGGTCATCCATGATGACTGTGGCAAAAACTACACAGAAAACAAAGCGTGGATTCAATCTATATGCACTACATACATCACAGTAACAAAGCAAGTTACCCGTTTTCCCTCCTGAAAGTACAGACAATGGATGCAACCATGTAACGGTTTAGGTTCGGTTGGACAAACTGTCCAGCTTCTTTCATAGTCCTCCCATGTATGAACACATGATGAGCTACACTCTTAAACATAAAGGTGCTTCACGATGCCATAGAAGAACCTTTTTGTCTAAATGGTTCCATAAAGAACCTTTAACATCTGAAGAACCTTTCTGTTTCACAAAAGGTTCTTTGTGGCGAAAAAAGGTTCTTCAGATTATAAAAAGTTAAGAAAGAGATGGTTCTTTAAAGAACCTTTGACTGAATGGTTCTTTGTGGAACCAAAAATGTCTCTTCTATGGCATCGCTTGAAGAACCTTTTGAAGCACCTTTATTTTTAAGAGTGTAGGGTGGCACGGATTTCATCAGAGACTGCTCGTCTTCATCTTCCATGCTGTTGTCTTGCAACATCAGCATTGTTAGGATCCATTGTTCCAAAGCACATGGACATTGCTCCAGGTCCTATTTAATGACCCTTTAATTCTGATTGGTGTGTTAACAATTTTGAGTCTTAGTGTTTGCACCTGGAGAAAGGTGTGCTCTTTGAGTTTAGCTTCTGATGACTTGAGTTAATTATATTGAGAGCATGTGTTTGCTGAATGAACTTACAGTGCAGTGAATGATTTATTTGGCCACTTTTGTGAAAGTTTTTACAGAATGAGTTTTGAATATTGAAGCATGTGTGGAAATAGGTGAATAGTGTTTACAGTTATGGGAAATGCATGTGTGTGTGTTTGGGAATGACATAAGGGTATCGGTTTTTGT